CATTTATACCTTCCCTTTTTATACCGTGCATCTCCATCAAACCCGCTCTCACTGTGCAGCATCTCAGCAGCGATGCAGCATCACTTAATCTCATCTAAAACGCTTCGTCATTCAACTTCAAGATTGCAGCATGGCATCTCATCTCGGCAATACGCTCTCGTCGCGTGTCGCCCATCACAGGTGCGTCCGCGCCAGTCGAATGGAACCCCGTGTTGATCGTGAATACGCGCTGTGTGCGATGCGTTGTGAGCGTTGCGTGTACGCGCGTGCTCGGCGTGCGCGCCAGTGGTGTGAATGCCTGTGTGCCATGCGTGGCGGCGTAGTACGTGAGTGCCGCGTGCGCGGCGTTTGTGTGACATGCCCTGCCGCGCGTGCCTGGTTACGAACGTGCTCACGTGTGCCGAGTGTGAAAGCCTGGGTGTCGTGAATGTACGTGCGCGTGCGTGCTACGGTGCGGGCTGCTGCGAGTGGCCTGTACGAACGTGCTCGTCATGACGCGCAGTGCTGCGCCGCAGTGTGTGCAGCGTGGATATGCGCGTGCGTCGCATGTACGTCGTGAGTGGTACGCGGACTGTAAGTATGTATGTATTATAGCCTGTAAGTACATATTTAAGTATTTCTTAACGTGTAAGTATATAATACTATAATAAGCGTGTGATATATATAATATATATACTATATAATATATATATATGCATATATATATTTATATGATATATATATTGATATGAGTGTATGTACCTTGTTATTATTTTACCCGTGTAGTGCATAAAACATATATTATAACGTGTAAGTACGTAATAATATCTATTATAACGTATGATTATATAATAACATTATAGCGTGTAGTAACATGTACATTTTACCGTGTAAGTGCATAACATGTATTATAGCGCATGAGAACATATGTATTAGAGCGGTGATTGCAAGGATTGCATGTAGCGTGTTAGGTCATGCGTGTCGGTGTTGTAAACAATTTCAGCGCGAACGCCCGCGCGCCCGCGCGATCTTCTAATTAACGAACATATCGATCATCAAGACGTTAATTACAGAGAAAACAATAGCCGCGTGGGAGGGAAGGATGGGAAGGACAGGGGAGAGGAGGGGAGGGGAGGAGGGGAAGGACAGGGGAGAAGAGGGGAGGAGAGGAGGGGGAAGGACATGGGAGAAGAGGGGAGGGGAGGAGGGGAAGGACAGGGGAGAGGAGGGGAGGAGGGGAAGGACAGGAGAGAAGAGGGGAGGAGAGGGGAGAGCAGAAGAGTTTGGGAGAGGAGGGGAGCAGAGGGATATGAGAAGAAAAGAATGGAGAGAAAAACATGAGGGACGGTAAGAGGAGGGTATGACAGCAAAGGAAGAGGAGGGAGAAAGACAATGAGAGGGGGAGAGGACAAGAAAGGAATGGAGTGGCGTGGGAAGGTAAGCGGATGGGAGAACCAAAAAGAACCTATCCCAGAGCAAACAACAGATAGCAGGCCGGGCAAATACTTAGAGAGCGAGCGAGCGAAGAAATAGAGAGCTGGGGATTGCAGAAAATCCTCAACCCTCCTGCTGTGAGCCAGTGCTACGCAATCACTGACACGTCGCTATGCGGGCTTTGCAGCCGTATTTCACCCACCTCTCCGGCAATCCGGTTACACGTGAAAGAATTGCCTGAACGCCGCGCAGAGGCAGAATTCCACGAAATCATAAAACACAGGAGATGGCTCGTAAAATATCGGATCCGTTGTTTGTTTATGTCGACTTGAAATCAATCTTGCCGGCGCTGTCCGGCCGGTAGATTGCGTAGCGGGTACGAGCCGGATATCCGGCGGCGCTCGGTGATGATTTTTCGACGAGGTGTTATCGATGCGAGCGATCGATTTTATGCAAATTTATGCAAATTGTTAATTAGCGCTGCGGCTTTGAAATGACAGGGGAATGAGAGGAGAGAGGAAAGGAGTGAGAGGGTGTGTGTGTGTGTGTGTGTGTGTGTGTGTGTGTGTGTGTGTGTGTGTGTGTGTGCGCGCGCGCGCGTGTGTGTGTGTGTGTGTGTGTGTGTGTGTGTGTGTGTGTGTGTGTAGTGTGTGTGTGCTGTGTTTGTGTGTGTGGTGTATGGATGTGCGTGATTGGTATGGTGTGGGTGTAGCGAGAGAGGAATAGAGAGACAAACAGAGCGGGTAAGAAGGAGATACGAAAGAGAGACTTGTCGCGCCGACGCTCTGTGCGCCGAAGGTTTAGCAGCACAACTCAGCCTCCGGCTCCTACCTCTGCTCATCCCTCTCCTTCTTGGGCCCTCTCCTCGTAACAATCCATACTCTCTTTTATACCATGTCTCTGTTACCGCATCCTGTCTTCTCTCCTCTCACCCGTTGGACCGCGTCTCTCCTACTCCTCGACCGTTCCGCAAATCCCGGAAATACGAGCGAAATCTTCTATCAAGACAGATATCAGCCTTCAAAATATCCGGCTGCTTCTTGCTCCTCTCGTAGAATCGACCCTAAAGACGCGCTCTTACGCCTCTCCCTCGCTTCCGTGCACTCCGCTTTCACTTCCCTTCTCCATCGGGCTCTCTTAGTTTTCGCCGAGATGACTAGGATATATATTATATTATATAGTTATCAGTTTCTTCTTATATAATCTTATTATTCCGGCGTGTTGGCTGCGTTGTATTCTTTTGCTATTCTCTCTCTTCGATGAGTGTGGGCTATGCCGTATGCGAGCGATCGATTTCTGCAAATTTATGCATAATGTAATTAGGCGCTTGCGCTGTCTCTTTGAATGACAGGGGAATTGAGAGAGACGCATGGCTGTGCCGTGATAGTGGTGTACTGTGTTTGTTCGCTCCGTGTGCTGTGTGGTGTGTGTGATGTGTGTGTGTCGGTGTGTGCTGTGATAGATAGGATAGTGTGGGGCGCCGGTACAGCGGCGGCAGGCAGAGGCGTGTGTGTTGTGTGTGTGGTGTTGTGTGTGATAGGTGTCGTGTGTGATGTATTTGTTGATGTGTAGAGATAGTTAGATCGTGCTCGTTGTGGATTGTGTCTGTCGCTGTTGCGTTGTGTTGATGGTGTCTGTGTTCGTGTGTGTGGTGTGTGTTGTGCGCGGTGGTGTGTGTGTGTTGTGTTGTGTGTGTGTAAGTGTGTGTGTTATGTGTGTGTGTGTGTGCGCGTCGCGCGTGTGTGGTGTGTGTAAGAGACAAGAAGCGAGAGCGAGAGAAAGTGCACAGAGAGAGGGAGGGAGAGAGGAGAGGAGCGAAATGATGAGATAGCGATGAAGAGAGAATACGCGAGATTAGATATGAGAAGAGAGAGAGGAGGGAGCGAGAGAGAGAGGGGAGAGAGAGATGCGAGATACGATGAAGCGAGAGAAGAGAGAGAGTACGCACGAGGATGAGAGAGAGGAGAGAGGCGGCGAGCAATATTTTGGGCTTCGCCTGTCGGCCGGGTTCGATCGTCCGGATTTCTATAGCTACCAACTTGTTATATTCCACGAGATTGATTTTGCGGTGGTCCGGCGCTTGATGTTTATCGCAACAATCGATGTTATTGATGAGGAATGATCGAATGGTAAGTGGGGGTGGGGGATGGCGGATAGGCGAGGAGGGAGGAAGGTGGTGAGTGAATAGGAAGTGCTGGGAATGAGGGAAATGAATGGGAAAGAGGGGGAGGGGTGGTGAGGAGGGGAAGGGATGGGGAGGAGAGGGGGGATGGAGGGAGGGGAGGGATAGCGAGGAGGGAGGAGGTGATGAGGGGAAGGAGGGGAGGGTATGGGGAGGAGGGTATGGGGAGGAAGGGGAGGCGCATTGGAGAGGAGCATAGACACGAAGAGAGGCGGTGGTGCACCGGGAGGGGAAGGGATCGGTGAAAAAGGGGAGGGATGGGGAGGAGGGGAGCGGGATGGGGTAGGAGGGGGAGGGATAGCGAGGAGGGAGGAGGTGATGGAAGGAGTGAGGGGAAGGGGTAATGGCGGGAGGGGAGGCGGCCGGGCTTCCTCTCGGTGGCGGGGGGAGATCCGGGAAGATGTGGCCGCGCGTTAAAGCAGAATAGGGGATGTGTAAGGGAGAGGGGATGGTAGAGGAGGGAAGGGATGGTGCACGCGAAGGCGGCAAAAGGGGGGGGATGGGGATGTGAGGGAGCGTGTGTGATGGGGAGCGGAGGGGAGAGAATGGGGAGGAGCGGGTAAGGGATAGGCAGGAGGGGGACAGGGGCGACTCGGGGGGAAGGAGGGGAAAGGACCGTTCAATGATGGGAAAGAGGAGGGAGTGCAGGGAGATCGGTGGAGTGGAGGGGTAGGGGAGATGGGGAGGAGGGGGTAAGAGAAGTGGGGAGGGTAAAAGGGCAGAGGGATAGGGCAGGAGGCGGAAGGGGATGGGGAGCGGAGGGAAAGGACGGCAAGCGATGGTCTCACTGTACGGCTCGGATGTCGATGGGCTCACGGGATGTAGCCTATATGACTATTTCCAGATGTCCCTGTTCGTCTTAGTTGTGCTATATGTTGTCGCGTATCATGTCATCAGGTTAGTCGCTGTAGGGAAATCGGCGTGAGTCTTTTGAATCATTTGTGGATTTTTTTTGTTTGGGTGGGTTGGTGCGGAATCATCACAAAAGCACGATTAGTGCTCAGGGAGGCGGGATGACGATCTGGGCGTTACTGGTCTTGTGATTGGGATCCAGGGAGGGACGAGGTGGACGAGATGGGTGAGGAGGGAATAAGGGATGGGTGAGGCCAAGAGTTGAAGAGGCGGAATAGGGAAGAGGAGGGCGACATAATGGATGGTGAAGGAGGAACGAGGGACGGGAGGAAGATGGAGCGAGTAGGGGAAGACGGAATGCGATGAGGGGATGACGCGGGCGGGCGAGGGTGAGGGTCATAGCGAGGAGGTGGGGGATCGGATGTGAACGATCACGCCCGGAGCGGCAACACATACGGACACCGACACCCACACCACGCCACGACACACCACACACAACACAACACAAAAGGGGAGGGGGTGGTCACACGACCATGTGCCTGCACACTCACATCGACACGGTCTGGCGCGCTAGCGCGCGAGCACTCACACACAGCTGGTGGAGTGGGGTGGGTTGTGGGTATGTGGTGGAGTGGTGTGGTCCAAGGGGTTGTGTGGGATGGAGTGGTGGACATAGGTGTGTGTGTAGATGTGGGGTGGTCATGGTGGTGTGGGTGGAGTGGTGGTTGTGGTGTGTGGGCTGGAGTGGTCGGTTGTGGCTAACAGCAGCAAATGCACATCGCGCACTAGCGACACGCAACATGGTGGTCTATGGTGATGTGGTAGAGTGGTGGTCGCGCAGTGTGGGTTGTGGTTGTGAGTGGTGTTGTGGTTTATGTGTGCGAGTGGTGGTTGGTGGTGTGTGGTGGAGTGGTTGGTGCCCCAAGCGCTAGCGACAGCGTGTGTGTGGAGGTGGTTCGTCATGGTGATGTGGTTGGAGTGGTGGCATTCTCCACACACAGCTGGGGTGTGTGGTGGCAGTGGTGGGAGTCGCGGGGGTGTCGATCGCACCGACACACACATTGAGGAGTGAGTTGGTTACGCGGGTTAGGCATGTGGTGGAAGTGGTGGTTGTGGTGTTGGTGTGGTGGAGTGGCGTTGGTTGTGGTAGATGTTAGGTGGAGTGGTTGGTCAAGTGGACGGTGATGTGGTAGAGTGATGGTCGCGCGGTGTGTGCGTATGGAGTGGGGTGGTTGTGGTATGTTGGTAGAGTGGTGGTTGTGGTAATGGTCGTGGAGTTGGTGTTCATAGGTGTGTTGGTGGAGTGGTGGTCAATGGTGGTGTGTTAGGAGTGGTGGTTGTGGGGGAATGTGGTGGAGTGGTGTTGTGGTATGGTGGGTTTGGAGTGGTGGTCATGGTGGTGTGGTGGGTGGGTTGGTCATGGTGTGTTGGGTGGAGGTGGTGGGTGTGGTGTGTGGTTTGGCGAGCTGGTGGTTGCGGTATGTGGTGAACGTGGTGGTGTTTGTTGTGTGTGGGGTGGAGTGGTACGTTCATGCGGTGTGTGTTAGAGTGGTGGTTGTGGTATGTGTGGAGTGGTGGGTTCGTGGCTATGTGGTGGAGTGGGTGGTGTTCAAGGTGTGTGTGGAAAAAAGGAAAAGTGGTATGGTTTGTGGGTGGTGTGGTTGGAGTTCGGTAGGTTCGCGGGTGGTGTGGTGGAGTGGTTGGTCGCGGTGTTGCTGGGTGGAGTGGTGGTCCGCTGGGTGATTGTTGGTGGAGTGTGGTTTGGTTGTGGTGTGCTGGTGGAGTGGGTGGTTTGTCGGTATGTGTGGGTGGAGTGGTGGTACAATGTGGTGTGTGGTAGAGGGAGTGGTGGTCGCGTCAGGCGGCGTGTGGTGTGGAGTGGTGGGTCTGTGGTGATGTGGTGTAACGAGTTGGTTGGATTGTGGTATGTTCGTGGGAGTGGTGTTTCCATTGGGTGTGGTGGTGGAGTGGTGGTCATAAGGTGGTGTGTTTAGAGAGTGTGTGTGGTTGGTGGTATGCTGGTGGAGTGGTGGTTGTGGTATGTTGGTGGAGTGGTGGTCAATGCAGGGTGGTGTGGTGTGGGAGTGGTTGGTTCATGGGTGTCGTGGTGGAGTGGGTTGGTTGTTGGTGTGTGGTGGAGTGGTGGGTTGCGGTGAGGTGTGGTTGAAGGTGGTGGTTGTGCGTGTGCTGGGTGGAGTGTGTAGTCATGGTTGTTTGTGTTTAGAGTTTGGTGGTTTTGTGGTTTATGTGGTTGGGAGCAGTGGTGGTTGTGGTGACCATGTGGTGGACGTGGTTGGTCATGGTGTGCTGGTGGAGTGGTGGTTTGTTGAGTGTGCTGGTTGGAAGTGGTAGTCCATGGTGTGTGTTTAGAGTTGGTGGTTTTGTGGTATGTGGTGGAGTGGCTGGTTTGTGACGCTGTGCTGGGTGTGGAGTGTAGTCATGGTGTGTGTTTAGGTGGTGGTTGTGGTATGCTGGGTGGAGTGGTGGTTGTGCGTATGGGTGGATTGGAGTGGTGGTCATGGTGTGGGTTGGATAGAGGAGTGGTGGTTGTGGTAGTGTTGGTGGAGTGGTGGTTGTGGTATAGTGTGGAAGTGCATGGTTCAGCAGGTTGTGTTGGTGGAGTGGGTGGTTGTGTGTGTGGTTGGGTGGAGTGGTGGTTGTGGGGTGTGTGGTCTGGAACGTGATGGTGCTCGCGAGGCTGTGTTGGCGTGGAGGGTGGTGGTTTGTGGGTGTGTGGGGTGGAAAGTGGCCTGCGTTGTGGTATCCGTGGGGTATCGGTCGGTGGGGAGTTGGGTCAAGGTGTGTGTGGAGTGTGTGGTGGAAAGGTGGGGGGTGGTTTTGTGGTGTTGTGGTGGGAAGTGATTGGAGGTTGTGGTGTGTGGTGGAGTGGGGGGGTGGTCATGGTGTGATGGGGTGGAAGTGGTGGTAGTGTGAGGGTGGTGGGTGTACGGTGTAGGTAAAGTGGATAGGGTTGATGGTTATGGTATGGTGGAGATGAGTGAGTCGAACGTGGTGTGTGGGGTGGAGTGGGTGGGTTGTGGTGTGTTGGTGGGAGGTGGTGGTTGTGGTGGTGTGGGGTGGAGTGATGAATTAGCTGGTAGAGTGGTGGTTTGTGGTATGTGGTGGAGGTGGGTCGGTTCGTGGTATGGTGGGTTATGTGGTGGAAGTGGTGGTGGTGGTGTGGGTTTGCGTGGAAGTGGTGGTTGTGGTGGCCTGTGGTGGAGTGGTGGTTCGTGGTGTGTGGTGGAGTGGTGGTCATATGGTGTGTGGGTTTGGAGTGTGGTTGTGGTTGTTGTGGTGGAGTGGGTTGGTTGTGGTATGTGTGGTGGAGGAGGTGTTGTGGTCGGGTGTGTGGTGGAGTGGTTGGGTCGCGGTTGGTGGTGGAGGTGGTTGGTTGCTGGCTATGTTTGACGTGGAGGTGGTGGGTTGTGGTTATGTTTGGTGGAGTGGGTGGAGTCCGCGGTATGGGTAGGTGGAGTGGTGGTTGTGGTGTGTGGATGGAGCTGGTCCGTCCCCATGGTGTGTGTTAGAGTTGATTGGTTGTGGTATGTGGTGGAGTGGTGGTTGGTGGTTATGTGGTGGCAAGTGGTGGTCCGGTAAATGTGGTGGAAGTGGTGGTTGTGGTATGTGGTGGAGTGGTTGGTTGTTGGTATGTGGTGGAGTTGGTTGGTCATGGTAATGTGGTGGAGGGTGGTGGTTGTGGTATGTGTGGAGTGGTGGGTTGTTGGTATGAAGTAAAAGTGGTGGCTCCGGCGCAAGAGTTGTGTAGTAGAGTGGTGGTTCACATGATTGTGATGGTATCGGGTACCGTTCACCTGATTTTAAAACCAAAATAAACCCGTTCCGGTCTTGGAGTCTTTAATTGAACAACGGCGAGATACTGGCGCATNATATATACATATATATATATACAATATTACATATCTTTTCTCTCTCTTACTTCCTCTCTGTCTCTCTCTCCTTCTTTTTCTTTCTTTGCTCCCAACAACGTTTTCCGTGACGCACTCCGTCTCTCTAGCGGATCCGGGAACGTTTTAACAATCTTTCTCCGTCTCTCTTCCCGGCAGAGGACTCCTGTGACGTCACGATCGACAGTTCGTCGGGTCACCGCCAGGGCTCGATCAGGAGTCCGCGCTACCCGCGCCACTACCCGCCCAGCACGGCCTGCAGCTACCGGCTTGTGGGCAACAGCACCGAACGAGTACAACTGATGTTCCAAACGTTTGACCTCTATCATCCGGGCAAGGTCGCAGAGAAGAAGTGAGTGAGTGAGAGAGAGAGAGAGAGAGAGAGAGAGAAGGGGGGGAGGGGAGAAAGAGATTGAAGGGAAAGGAGAAACAGTAAAGAAGACAGTAAGAGAGAGCGAATGAGAAAGATTTGTAGAGCTAGAGAGAGGAAGAGAGAGAGAAAGAGAGATAGAGAGAGAGCTAGGTACATATATAGAGAGAAAGAGGGAGAAAGAGAGAGAGAGAGAAAGAGAGAGAGAGAGAGAGAGAGAGAGAGAGAGAGA